AGTAATTTGAATTTCAGTTTTTTCTAAACCCACAATAAATACTATTGTATCCGTTGATCATTAGAAGATTTATTGATTAGGCATTGGAAAACTACTGCGGTTTTTCTTCTGATAATAGTTGATAAGATTTCACTATTTCAGAGCGGAGATACCATAATAGAGATAGTTATCTTAGTTATTACCTGTTGTGTCTTGTCTACTAGAAGATTCTATGATCTTATTACCTGTTGGATCTTAGCTGTTATCTACATCCTATAACATAATTAAAAAACAATTTCGAAAATAACTAACATTGAATAGCATTCAATAGCAATACAGGTAAGTAATAAGCCAAGTGAAATCATCACACCAATTGCAAATAATATTGCACCCAAAATAAGCACACATCTTCTGCAATATGATAACACTAAATATTTGCAAGAAGTAATTTTAAACGTAAAATTTAAAGTTTGAATAAAATATTTTAATATTGAAAGAGTTTGTCAAGCACCTGTGTTCATATTTCGAAGTTTTTACAACTGATAATAATTTTGGTTTCCAATTCTTCTACTGAATTCTCTTTAGGTTCATGAAAATGCTTTTCTGCAATGCTTGTAAAAGGTGTATTACTAACCTTGTTGGCCATACGCCAACATAGACAGGTATGCATGGATAGAAAAATATTGGGCATTTTCGACGTAAATACCACGGTTCATACTGAGACATCCCTATTATTATCAATTTAACTTCTTATTATGCAAAACAAATTTTGTCACTAAGAGAATTGAACTGATATAAAACTTAAATAAATTAGCGGTATTTATTTGCGCATAGGAATTCGTGCTCAAAGATCTGAGAAATATCTTATCAAACTTAACAATTAGATATAACGAATGAAAGATTCTGAAATGATATTAAATTAATGAATATTTGAAATTTATTTCAGCAAATCGGATTCTATTTCAAGCTTGCTCCGATATCAAATACAATAAAGTTTGCGATAAATTTTACTTATTGATGATATACAATCGTTTATTGATATCTGATAACTGCATATATATGTATAGTTCGAGAAGTGAAAGAAAGAAGAGCTCAAGCTTAGTATAGCAGCTTATTCTCGAAGAAAAGTGCAAGAAGAAAAAGCTAGTCAGCTAGCTGGTACTAATACCAGCGCATATATCTCAACTTCAATAATGGCACAATCAGCACAGCAGGTGTAGCTATAACTTCATCTGCAAACGCTAACTCGACATAGGCGATTAACGTCAATAATTTGCTAACACTTTACAACTAACCGGCAATCTCGCTTCAAACTTTTGCGCTTCTGCTTCATATAAATTTTTATCTCTGTGTGCATTTTTTACATTTCAACAAATGGTAAGTTAAAAAAACATTATCGATTAGTTTTTTTCATTTAAAACTTTTGGATGACTATACTATAATGTATATTTAGGCTGGCTGTTTAACAACTTCATTGTATTAATCTTAAATTTGTTGTAAATACCGTTTTTTGTCTCAAAAAATAATAAATTTGAGATGACCCACAGAAAAGAAATTAAATTAACGATTTAATAATTTAATATTCGAAATGATAATAATACGAAATTTGATGATACCACCACAAACAACAAATACATTCTCTTCACGTTTCCGATCACCGTTGAATAATTCGAATAATGAATGGATATCGATGACGAATATTTAACTGATATAATTGTTATTAAATTATTATACATAAGAAATTAAAGGACCGAATTTATATTCATTTTCAGTTAGTTACCTCTTTGGATTTCGTTGTTGAAAAAGAAATTGCTCCCAAATTTTACTATATTTCATTCAATGAGTCATTTTAGTAGGAAGGGAATATGACTAATGCATAAGTAAATTAAGAAACTAGCATATGTCTAAATGAAATCTTTAAAAGTAAAATGAAAATACAAAATCCGCTCGTGCGCAATGAGTTAATATTAGGGATGTTTGTTTACTGTAAAGAAATATGAATCTCAAAATGTTGAATATTTAATTATGAAATAAACAATAAATAAGACAAAAATTGAATTTTACAAAATAAGAAGAACTATTTCGTAATTCTAACATATTAATTAGAAATGATTTATGGACGAGCATGAAATTGTTGAATGAATAAATTAAAAAAGTTGAATTTAATAAAATGGAATATTATTATTTCAACACAAATTCTAATCGTTCATTTCATTTCGTTTCAGTTTAATAAATTTATATGAAATAATATAAAAATAACATTAACAACACCAGCATGGTTATATATATATTTTGTTTGCTTATGGTTGAATTCACCGATCAGCCATACCTGCCTGTATGAATTGATTGAATTCACCGATCAGCCATGCCTGTATGAATAGATGATGTTGATTGAATACAGTAAATTATAATTTTTTTTCAGTATCATCATATGTAATAAATTATTTACTTCAATAAAAATTTTATATATAGTGAAAATTTCAAGAGGTTTTAAAAAATAAATATATTGATTAAGCAATGTTTAAATTCATTTTCAGTAAAATTTGGAAACTATTTGCATTCAATGGAGCTGATAAGCTGATAAAATGTTCGTGTTATCATTTTGTACATTCCTTAATATATTCAATTGATTCATTCTTTACTAACATTTAACACTTGAAATTGTGTTAATTAAAATTGTCATAATTATTTAATCACTAAAGTAACTAATTTATAACGAACGGTACTTATCAATCAATAATCATAAAATAAGCAAAAATGAGAAGGAAAAGAAATCAAAAAGATTTGTTGAAATAAAATCATTTCGAGAAATAAAACAATTGAATGAGTTTGAATGGGGCACGCTCAACCAGTTTACATTTCGAAATAATTTTTGTCAATTTCAAAAATGAATGAATCAGTCTTTTTTTGCTCGTTTATTTCTAAGTGTGTATTTAAATAAGGGTGGCTATAAAATTCTGACAACTTTTATCCTTTCAAATTACAAAAATAAGATGAAATTAGTAATCATTTGCATTCTAAGAAATTAGTTTTGATCAATTATTTTAGTTACTATTATTGGCAGTTTATAAATTGATTAAGAATTTAAGAAATTGCATTAAAACCTGTTGATTTCATGCATAAACAATACATTGAATTAACTTGTAGAGATAGCTTTCCGGTTTCATTCACTCGTAAAACTGTTTCCATTTTTTGCAGTAGCGGAATGGTCGAATAGTAATGTTTGATCTTTGAATAGTTCTGTCTTCAAATCAATTAATGCGATTCATTTGATTGGGCATTCATGTGGTATATTTTTTGAGGGTGATATTAATAGTGAGAATGGCAATGAATGCTAAGTTTATTACGTACTAGAAGAAGTGATTATAATTATAATATACGATCAATTGCATAATTAGTTTGACTTTATTCAATTTAAATTAAACAAAAATCAGCAAATTGATGCTGAAAATATTAGGGAAATTTTAGGAAAAGCAATTTAACTTATAGAATTATAAATTATTTCATTCTTATTATCTTTATTCATTTCCGATCAATTTTAGCATTAACATTTTTATCATACATAAAGTAATTATATTTGTTAAATTTCTACATTAACATGAACAAATAAAGTCGCTAAAAGCACCTTTCCGGATTCTATGATTAATAACTTATTATCGGCTTTAGAACAATTTCATTTGCATAAAAATATTTCCCTAATGTTTCCATTTCATCATAGAATCTATCATAAAAACGGACCTTAAAATGTTCTTTTTCCCTTTAAACTTTTTCTCATTAAAGGAATTCATTTTTAAGTGATAATTAACTCTTCAACAATATACAAAATCGCGAATATAATTTCTGCAATCTCATTCTCTAATTAACCAATTCTTTCTTTTCCAGAATGTTTCGACAACAAAATTTCAGGTTATTTTTCAACTTTTAATATTTCACATACTTAATTGTTATGTTTTTGGCTCTAACAACTGTGTTGATATAAAAAATCACTTTTAAAGAAGTGTCTGAGTGAGAGACTTCCTTTTCAAACTTTTTAATTAATGAACGTATTTTAAGACTACTCATATTTCAGTTTTGGATGTGCTGCTACTAGTTTTATGCTTAAAGTCGTATAGCGTAGTGTAGAAGTCATAATGTTATATCCCTTCGATGTTTTTTTCCACAAAATGTCAGCTTATCAGTGTACAATCTGGCTTTGCTATCCATAAATGAAAATTTCAATTTCTAGTTTGCAATGTTCACCTTTTATCCATTATAAAATTCTTGTGTTCCCATTTCAGGTAGAATTTTTAGAAATGAAAATTTCAAAGTATACGGTTTTCTTCCATTCACATATAATTTCAAAGTTGTACAAAAAGATATTAGAAAAACGTGGGATGGAATAAATGAAGAATATTTAAAATATCGTACAATGCAAATTTTACTGAACTGCGGAATTTCACACTCCTTGCTTTTTGATTTCTAATAGTCTTGCTTTCTTTATTCAAAATATAGGTAACATGAAAATAAAAAATGTGAGCTGCATTAACAACAACCTATGCTTTCAAAAACAATTTATTCGGCAATAAAGCTGAAAAGCAGAATTAAGCACCGCAAAATATAGGAAATTATGGATGGAAAGCATGAGAATAAAAGGGAATATAAAATAAATTGATAGAAACTCATCCAACGAGATACGACAATTGCATAATATGCCCAATAAAGGGTGACTTTTGACACCCTTTACACTTCTTTCATCGCTTTCATCGTATCTGAGGACCAATATTCAGACACTAATCAGCTTGTATCGATGACCAGCAGAAAGTCAATCACAAAAAATTATAAGCTAAGAAGCATGAAACGACAAGAGTGAACTCTATGGAACCAAAAATTTCTAGCATGTCCTAAAAATAAACGTGGTGAAACAAATATCAGTGAATAAAAAGTTTCTAATTTTTCATAAACTATATTGAATATATCCTATATACAATAACAAGGCATCCTGAAATTGGCAACCAGTTTTTGGAATTTTATTCCTTAAACTGCTAGGCAATTATTTTTCGCGTTTCGCAGCTTTGTCTTTTGACTTCGTGTGGTTGAAAATTTCTCAGCATATTATTGGAAGATCTAAAATAAAGATAAGAACAAGAATGAAATAAGTAAACATTTTTAACAGTTGCGAATAAACACCTTGAAAATTTTAATATGGAAATTTCGATACATCGTAGAGGGAACCAGGAAATTAATTTAAGTTCCTGTCGTTCGACATAATTTTAAAACAAACGAACTTTTATTTGAAATATCAACAATTTCACATGTTGAAGAAACAGAGGGTGGACAGCGATGTGAAAGCCCTTGAGCAAGTGCATCATGTTCATGTTTTAATGCGAAGTCAGCATTAATTGACCATAGAGAATGCTAAAAGTGAACTAAGAATTTATAAACTGAGTTTTCAGATCAAATTTTGAAATTTTGTTAGTTTGCATATAAGACTGATTTAGCCATCAAATCAAACTCTTCTTTTTGACACTTCCAAAGAAATAACACAAAAATTTCAAGGAAATTCATTTTTTTTTTGAATTCTGTTTGTTTAAGTAACCAACCTTATATATAAAACATTTCGAATTGAGCAGTGTTTCTCCAACGGAAAATTTCCAATTTGGTGGCAGCTTTCCCCGATCAGAATTCTACAAAAGTTTCTGAAATCATCTGCATAAAATTATAATGTTATAATCAAATCAAACTCTTCCTTTTGACACTTCCAAAGTAATTCATTTCTTTAGGAGGTCACTCCGCAAGAAGTATCCATCTCCAAACATCCTTAAATCTCAGTTCCATTCTTACAATTCTAACTATAAAAGTAACGATATAATTCGTTGAAATTTTTGAATCTTTAGAAACGTCTTCAAAAAACTATACTCTGGTTAGTATCTTCCATACTTATTACCATGCAAAATTATGTGCATACTAGAACAAGGAAGCGATGATATATATCGTTCAGGGAAAGTTGGCGTTCCGATGATGTAGCCAGTACTCGGAATATCCAACACAACAGCGAGCACTTCTTAGCCAAACGCTTCTCTATAAACATAATGGAATAAATGATTCGTTTACTTGATATTCATAACACGCAGTCAAAATTCGTGAACTTCCGAAATATAAACATTGTTAATTTCATAAAATTTAAGGTTTCAATAATGTGAAAATAAGTGCACAAATGAACAGAAAAGAAAAATGAAACGCCACGATACAATAGAGATTAATAGTGAACGCGTGAAAACTTTAGAAATTTGCCATACCTGCCGAAGTATCATAAATCACTTGTTCTATTGCAACATAATCATTATCTTCGCAGTACATATCTTCAGAGGCAGATCCATCGTTGGAATTGCGAAAGAGATTCTTCTGATGAAATGAATCATCCAAGGAAACAAAGTATTCTAAATTCTCATTGTTATCTCGATGAATCACTGCATCCAACAAACTCATATGATTTATAGATAATAATAAAGAAGAGTGAAATCCAAATCAAACATATTTTAATAACCAAAGCAGCAAGCAAATAGGACCTATCATATACTTCTTGATAATGAATAACTGATAATCTGTAAACATTCTGAACTTAATCTTTCCCCCTAGCAGTGCCCCATTCTCTTTAAAAACTCAATGCGACTGTAAAAAAGTTCAGCTCTTCAATCATGACCGCAGAAACAAGATATATGCTATGTAACGGTGTAAGGAGAAGTTTAATACCCCAAGACAAAATCAGCCTCTATCCAATGGTAACTTTTTGAAACAAGTTCATAATATAACAAACAACTACCAGGTAATCTGTAATTAACAAGCCAATCAAGACATTTCAGATCATCGGCACCGTTTTCTTCTTCCGATTTGTCGTCCACTTCATCAGCTCTCCGTCCTTCATTCTCTCCCACCGTACCAACCACCTCAGCTGGCATCAAAAACAAATCATTACAGCCAAATGAATTGCCTCACAAAGAAAACCTAGAAGTAAAATCTTTAAATATCATAGCCAACTTGATTGCTATCCACCGACTCTAATCTAGCCATCTATGCCAACTTGAATTTTAACAATGCTCACATTTCTCAATAACCTAAATCCTTTATGGCACATTGCTCCCAGGAATACCAGAATCGACTCAGCGCAGGAGTCTTTCGACATTGCAGCATTGCAGTAATCTCAAAGAAATATCCCCAAAAAACCCAAACATCTCGAAATGACAATTCTTACGGAACTGACGAATGAAACTCAACGTCTCACATTGGTTCGCGTCAATGTATTGATTGTGAGACAGGGATTCTGTCGTTTTTTCTCCAGCGTCGATTCGTTGGTTTACTTGCAAAATTATATTTGAAAATTAAATTGGAATCTAACTGTGAAACGCCACTTCTTTCCCTATTTGCGAGCTCTTTACAATAGAAAAGTATTGCGAACAACCAATGCACAATGAATGATTTAATTTTTGTTAATTGACGACTTTAGAAAATTGACTACTGATGGAAAGTCTGAGAAAGTTTTATACTGCTTAAAGCGATTTATTGAGTATATTAAATGGATATTAAAGGATTAACTTGTTATGAATCTAAATGAATCTTAATAAGTAATGCTAATCCATTGGGATATCAACGTCACGTAGATGTTTTCTTTCCAGAAACTGTGACAAAAATCTTGAAAGCTAATCTTTCCATTTCCAAGAAGGAGAATTGAAGTTGGAAAAATATTTGAAGGAAATATTTAGTTATCTTTTGACGAGCGATGATGTCTTTTTAGGTATTTGGGCACTTCTAGATGTATTTCATGTTTCAATATATTACAGTTTATGTTATAATGTGTTTAAAAAATTTTTACCAATTATAATAAAATAGTCTAATGTCTGTGGAAGGCAATGCAAACATTCCAACATCGCCTTTTAAAATTTTAACATAAATAGGATCCGTATACTTTCATTTTTGTCAATTATTGCCGACAGTAACATAATGGACGAATGTCTTCATCTGTCACACAATCGCTTTGGTTACCGTAACTATCCACTCGAATGATCTGAATTCAGCAAAATTACAACAATTGAAACAATGGAAATCATAACTTTTGTTAAAGTTAAACAATTTGTGCATGAATTACTCAAATAAAATAAAAAGGAAAGGATGAAAAGTAACTTTTGTAGGTATTTCAAAATGATCATTCTTCTTCAACACTTGCGCCTCATACTTCCCTTCACTTGGCGATGCGTTGATTATTATTTTCAATAATGATTGCTCCTTCGTGTATTCTGCCGAAATCACCTTGAAAAAGAATACTTCAGCTCAGCCTTTTTATTTAAGAAATTTCCTCCTTCATTTTAAGATATTATATTCATTTGTTAAATTTCAATGCACTAAAAGATCACCGAGAATTTCCATTTGTTAGAAAAAGAAAATTGAATTTTTGAATGATATATTACAATTGCAGTAAAATATTTGTTTAAATTGCCATTCAGTATTAAATCACACTAATTACTACAATAAGGTCATCTTTAACGCTGCTTGCTTATGGAATACTTTTTTTCTAATAAATTTAGCCAGTTTCAATCTACATGTAAAAATTGATCAAGAGTTATTTAGCCACAAAGGTTTATTTTACAACTTTGTGATCTTCAAGCGGCAGTTTGATATAATAGATGTTTAAATCAAAACTATCACTTCTTTTAAACGAAGTTCTTCGCACTTTTCATTCGCATGTTTTCCTTTCAAGTAATCATTAATTTTATTGACGATGAATTGCGCAGCTTTTGTGGCATTTTCATTGAGAACGTCAATTTTATCCCATTGTTTTTTGCAGATACAGTACTGATCCGAAATTTTCATTTCATCACATGTCCTATAAAATGAACGAGAAATTTCATAATATTCAAAAGCTGATTTATTCTAAGCTATGAAAATGAAAAAGCACTGAATGTGACAACAGTAATTGTCGATGTACTAACCTATCATATCGAATGGGCCTTAAAAGACTCTTTGCTCGAATTCCACCCTTTATCGTGCCAAGTTCCTTGCTGCAATGAATGTCTAAAATCATAGAAATTAATTAATCTCTCAATGAAATTTGATGGAGAAAAATCCGTCTACTATATATGAAAAAATCAAACGTCTGGATAATTTGAAATAGCCGAGACAAACGTGAAATCATGTTCATCCCATTTCTGGAAATTTTCTTTTCTTGCATATTGTGCTATATCGTAAAATGTTGCATAAATGTCATATTGGGATGTATGCCTTCGAGAATTCCTTTTTAAATTCAAAATAAGCTGCTCATTTGAACGTAAATACTGCGGTACTGCTATCTGAAATACGAGAAGGTTGCAGAAAAGCACATTCAATAACCGCAATGATGTAAGGCTCACATTGCATACAATATACGATATCGATAGCGAGAAGAAATATAACGGTGGAATCAATATCAGTTAGCCAATATCAATATCAGAAAAACATCAGTTATCATTACAATAAACTCTTACCGTAAGCAACGGATTATTATCTTCATTATATCCAGTATCAGTTCTTCGAATTCCGCCATATCGTAATCCATGATCACCCAGCACAAATAAGAAAGAATTATTCAAATTGTCAACATTTTTGCGAAAAAAATTAGCAAAATGCTAAAAATCTTACAAAATATTAAGATAGGTTTGAGATAAGTAAAAATTTCTTCATTTATTTTGCTTTCTCCACTCGACAGTATAATTTATTTTTAATAATAATTTCATTCAAAAAATTTTTTCCTAAGAAATTAAGAGTGATAAAAAAACCTTATCAGCTCGATACAATCCATTAACAGAATTATGAGCTAGCTGTGATAACCATATTAAAGCAAATTTCGAGAATCCCTTATATTCGTTTAAAAATTTGTCCATAAAATCCAAAACTTTGTGATAGGCTTCATGGCATTCTCCTTTATAGAAATAAACATTGAAATCTTTTTCAGCCTTTGTTCGAAGCACCAAAGCACTTCAAAGAAACAAATTACAATTTTTGCCATATTTATCATAAAATAATCGATATTATTTTTATTGATTTTTACCGTAAAAATTCCCGCGGTCGATTTCATTTATTGAAAGAATGCATAAATGAATGTATTCTCAACATTATTTTCATTTAATTAAATCAGTTAATAATAACAAAGAAAAAATTCATTAAAAAACTGAACTTTTGGTGCTTTTCGAGAAGTAAAATCTAAAAGGATTAGAAGTTTCAATTTAAAAAGAATGATAACTTATAATTGAATTTAAATTCAATTAAATTTCAAATTCTCGCCAAATAACCTTCCAAAATGATCGGTTGGAGCTTTAGGAAAGCCATTACAATTTGGCCAAATGAACGTACTCGGCCAATCTTCTGCCATTATCGATGCATAACTTTGATTGATAAAATCAAAAATTACTGTTTCATTCATTTTGACACCATCCTAAAATGTCAGAAAATATATTAAATTTGTTAATTTCATCACTTATCATTATGATACTTTGAAATTAATAAAACCTATTAAGATTCCATAAATTGACTAATTTACAATGTATATAAATTATAAAGAGAAGTGTCATAATGAGATCATAGTTTAGTCTTTTATAGGTTGAATTCAATTATATGAATTCCTGAAACGAAATAGAGAATAAAAGAAATTTGATTTTATCATACTTTTGATATATTCAAATGTACAAACTTTACTTCTTATTTTAATGATAATTATAAATTTAAATTTACAGTAAATGATATGAACTGAATCAAATAAGCAATAAACCAATTTATTTCTTATATCATAACTCTTATATCATAGCAATTATTTTATGTCAAATGCACTCATTGATATACTTCACTTACAACATTTTTTTGATATCAGTTTAATAAATTGAATTAAATATAATACAGCTTACTGCACAGGATTGTGGATGTTTCGAATTATTTTTATCGAGAAAACGATTCGCATTTAATTCAATTATATGAATTCCTGAAATGAGATAAGACTTTGTTAAACTTATGATTTACAAACTTTACCTTTCATTTTAATGATAATTATAAAGTTGAATTTACAATAAATAATATGAAATAAATCAAATAAGCAATAAAACAATTAATCTAAAAGATTCTAAACTTATCTATAAAATAAAATAAAAGCAAAGTAAAAACCTGAAAAAATAGCGAAAGCATTTGGTCGACTGTTTGGGCCAATTTTGTTGTGATAATAAAACGTTGTCGCATCGTAAAATTGACGGAGAACCTAAGAATTATCATTTTTTTTACATGAACTTCAACATTTTCTTTTTATACTTATCACACTTTTTGAATTTATTCAATATAATATGCTTCATTGACCTCTTTTTCCTTTAATTCATATTACAGTCTAAATTGCTGAGTGAAGTTAGATAACTATTCACTCTTCTACTGCAATCTATTAGTAATCGATACTTAAGAAATTACCGAAAGATCTCATCAATGATCTAACACTTGTAGTTCAAGAGAGCTTACATTTAGTATTTTCAACTTGATGTATACCAATGGCGGTTATATGTATTTATGAATGCGAATATTCAACATTGGTAATTTTGTCAATAATATTAAACTTTAATGAATATAGAAATTATTGTAAAATTATAAGCAATAATGAATAAAACGTTGAGAGTGACGAGAAATCAGAATCTATTTGAAAAATAACTTGGTTAGTTTTCACAATTGTTCGCATTCCAGATGAAAATGAGGTAGAATCGAGAATAAAGATGAATACTCCGGGATGTAGATTATCCTCCTTCTGAAATATTTTCTGCGATGATCGTATTACCTGAAAAAAAATTGTTTATAAAACTTATCGGGTGAAATTATTAACTGATTGTTCTTAATAATAAATGCCAGCAACAGTGAAAATTAATAATCTTGAAAGCGAGAAATTCAATTTCATAACTAAGAATGTCATACAACTTGCCCTCCTACATTCTTATTTTTTCCTTTTATGTTGAAAAGATTTTCCAATCGATTAATCTTGTGGTTTTGAAAGAATTCCCTTAAAATGGAATTGATTAACGAAGGAATCGTCAAATTACAATCGAACTGAAAACAACCTGAACATGAATGTAGCGAAAAGCTGTTGTATTTCCTTGCGTGCAGTGTGTTTCGATGAAATCGCAACTTTCGAAATACGTTGCATTTTTTTCCATTTCAATCCATTTACCGCTTTTGAAATTTTTTTGACCATCTTTGTAAAGACATCGATACTTACATTGTGATGTTCTAAGCTGTGATTTATTAAACAAGCAAATTCAAATTTGACATTTTTTAAAGACACATATACTTCAGAATGTGATGGCCAGTGAAAACAAAAAAGGGGTCAATATATTCAAAGGAATGAAAATCTAGAAATTACGATTTTTTTCCAAATTTCTGCTATTAATAAAACGATCTACCAATAAAATTTTAGATTCTGCGCTTTTTCTACAAAATACCTGGAATGTTTAATTGTTATTAAATAAAGGAAGTTACAGGTAATATTAGTTATATCTTAAGATTTCTATTTATGCGCATTTATCCCTATTCTCACTTTACGCTTTCACTTATATTTTATAAATATTTTCCTTTTTTTCTTTGTTTCAAAGCAAATATAACATTTTGTCATATAAACTTAACATAACATTCAACTAAAAAATAATAATAAAGGTAAGATTAAATTATTTAATAAATTTTTCAAGCATACATATTATCAAGCATTCGAACTGAACCATTTTTTAATTCTGTATGCATAACACGAGTTATTTTACATTCCTTCCAAGGATCATAATTGGGATATAAGTAAGGTTGTATTTCAGGATCCCAAGGATCTAAGTTCATCAGATGACATTGCTTTACATTATTCTTTTCAAAACTTATACCACCTATAAAACGGTAATTCTTGTTTAATATTTCTAGTTTGCAATAATATATTATATCTATATTACATAATAATATAATATTCATCCTTTATTATTCTATACCTAAAAATTTTCTCTTTCAATCCATTTTTGTCCTTAAATTATTCAGTTTTAGTTTTTTTGCTACCATATTTAAATGGGATTATTCAAAATGTATGTTAGTAAAAATTCGATAATTTTGAAAATTGATGATTAAATTAAAAATGCAAAAATGTAGACGAAAAGTATCAGTGAAAGGTGGCAACAACTAAAATATTACCAGTTTTGAAGAGTGAATCCAACGATTTTCGTATAATTATCTGTGAATCATTTGCAAATAAATAAAAATTAAATAGCACAAAAAATAAGCCAATAAATAATATAAATATATTAAGGGATTTTTTCCCACTTAGATTCATGATTTATATGCTAAAATAATAAAGTTCAAAGAACGCAATGAAATTTTTGCTTTCACGAATTCATAAATTTGATGATTCATCAATTAATAAATTGATAATTTACGAATTTAATTTTACAACAATAAAGAAAAGAAGCAAATCATTTATTTGTCTTTGTGAAATGTTTACATATAATAATTATTTAAGATATTGTTTGTTTTTAATTATATTTTTTGAAGAAAGTGAATTTCGTTTCTTAGACAATAAATAAAATAAAAAATCATTAGAAGTGAATAAATAATAAATATTTTCTTCATTTCTTTATATTCTAACCTATAAATAAATCTTTTTTACTTTTTGAAATTTCACAAAAATCAGTGAAGTGTTCTCTTCACAATGCAGAAGATGAATTCATTAATGCAATTAATTTGAAAAAGTAAAACTTAATTTTAATATGCAAATTTGTTAAAGTTTTCAAATTTGTCATTTGATTTTGTACGATTTAACTAAACCTATGAAAAGTAAAATTTACATAAAAATTATGTATTTCTTTGCAAATGATAAATGAGCAAACTTTAGAAATTTGAATAAATGTTCTTTACAGTACAAAGCATTTCACCTTCTAATTTTCCATCAATCTCACATTACATAGTATTTTGCAATTGCAGGTAATTAAAATTCATATTTTTGGAAATATTTTTCAATTTTTCGAAGATTAATGAAAACGATAGAGTCGGAATTAAGCTGAAATAAGAACAAGCTAATGACCACTGTTGGACTGTCAAAGAAACTTATTGTGGTAAGCAAGCAAAACAATGCTTTTTATTCTTAATATTCTATTCATAACATTTTTAGCTTTTCAACTTTGATAGAAATATTTTATGCAAAATGTTAGAATAAGAATAAGAACATTCCTTTGCTAATTGGCCACAAAAAATTTGACAAAAAAAGTTTCAAAAAAATTTTAATTTGAAAACAATTACAATTTATCCGAACAACAGCATGAATCATCTGACTGTGGTAAAAAATAAACGCTTGAAATTTAAATCGAACTTCTGGCAAACTTATAGCTCTTCAGAGATTACATACAATATAATTTTATTTCAAAAGAATAGGTAAATGAATAACTGAAATGAAATATATCGTGAAAATGGAATTTCAGAAAATTCCTTGAATTCTAATAGTGTTGCAGGTTTTATACATTCCATCAATTGTTGTCTCTGATTCGATTCCAGCGTTACACAAATTAGCAAATACGTACGTGTACTTGAGAATATATGGGTTCTAAAATACGAAAAGAGTAAATAAGCAAATGATAATTCAGCTGATAATGCAAAAAAAAAAATCAACATTATTCATGATGATATTTTCATTATCTTCAGCAAACTTACATCAAAATAGTCCGAAAAATTTGATTGAACTTTATTTAAACTGAAAATCTTTATACCACCTATAAAACGGTAATTCTTGTTTAATATTTATAACTCTTAATTTAAAATTTATCTTTTTTAACAATTTATGGAAAATTGGATTATCCTTGTTTTATATTGATTTCTAATAGCTATATGATATATTTACTTTTATCGATACTTATTTCTTTCAATTGAACAGAGAATAGCCATAGCAATAATTGACTCAAATAGGACAATAATACTATGATAATGTTTAAAGAATCATAGATAAAGTATAAGAGAAAAAATATACTTGGCCAAACTGGAAGCACAATCGATCGAATGCTTTGATTACATCATCGAAACAGTTTAAAGATTTAATTGTTGATGGTGTCGAATGGATGAAATAATGTTGTGATTGATTTGGTGCTATTGTCCATATCAGTGATTTCATAAATGTTTCAAAATATTCTCTTTTCTGGAATAGAAGAAGATTCACATTTTATGCTTTCAACGTAAGATAAATTTGAAATTTTAATTTAAAATTTTCGAAAAGAATAAAAAATTTCACCACAAATCATATAAACAACTTATCATTGATATTTTCTCGATTTTATGTTGCAAAGCATTTCGTTCAGATTCTGTTTCTGCTTCATGCAATTCCTTTTCAAGCATTCGAAGATAAACTTCACGTGAAGGCCAAGCAACTGATCTTTTACTTTTAATTTCTGTCTAAAAAAATTATTGGAATAAGATTTGATAATTTAAAATTAAGATTAGAAGTTAACCATGGATATATGTGCACATTTCATTACAAAACGTAAGCTATCTTCGAATATCAGTCGTATGTTACTGAAATGGTTAAATAATAGATTAGATTAAATGTAAATTAATGTGACTTGGCTTATTGCTCATAAGAAACGGAAATGTTGCGTTGAAGACATTCTTTCCCTTTTAGTTGATTTAAATTTGAAGGATACTTTAACTAATCCGTACAACATATTAGCCCAAATAGTATTGACTATACTAACCAATCCGAAACAACAACAATTATTAAGTATTGTTCGTCTAATTTTTCAGCTTAATTTTATTAAACTTATAATACCGGATTATAATCCATATTTTTGCCATTAGATATTTTATTGCCCAAATAATAAGCCACATAATCGCTGGCAATATTTAAATCACCGTAATGCATCACATGACTCATATTTGTTTCTTGTTTGACAATTTCGAATTGTGAAGCCAAAGTTTCGTGATTCAAATCTTCCTGTAGGAAAAAGAAAAATCAAAAATCATTCGCTATATGATATCGTAACTCTCATCCATTTTCTGCGCTTATTTATAAATTAATAAAGATCTAAGTTTTTTTTTTATTGTGATACTTTTTTTTAACGAGTAGATATATTGTTGTCCTCTAAACTTTTTTAAAGAAATTGATTCAACTTTTTTAAGGTATTTAATAAGAATAAATTAATGTAACAAGGAATTATTTCTCAAACCTTTTCGGAATCGACAATCCAATTTATGGAGAAGCAATCACCGAGACAAGGCAATTTCATCTCATTATCACAGTAGCAACCCCAAGAGCTTTCATGCGAATTTGATGCTGTTACCGCATAAACTGCAAAAAATTTACATCAAACAATAACAAAGTGTAACAGGTGGACATTTTCGCCTCCTTCTGAATAATCTTTTAAATTTATTACTATCTGAAATTAAATTGTATCTTCCCGAAAACTAAGCTATTATCATAGTATGGCATAAATGTGGGAATTTTTCAAAAGAAACCATCAATATTTTTAGGTAGAACTTTTGCGAACATTGAGCCACTTTCGCATGCTTCCATATAAAATACAAGCCTTCCAAATTTTTTCAATTTATGCATTCGTTTCAATGCATCATTTAAATCTTTAACAGTTAGCTGAAAAAAAAAATTGATGAATTAACAAGCAGTGATAAAAGGTTAACTTATTGAAATGCGAAAGGTTAAGCAATGAATATTACCACAGACTCTGGGAAGGATACCAATCCAACGGCTCCATGATCGGTGAAATACACAAATATGTGATCATCGCGAGTACTGTTCATTACTTTGCCACTACCACCCTTTACTGCCGTTTTATTTCCATTTAAAATTGCCAGGAAATTTTCCGGAGTGACATGGATTCCGGAATAGTCGACTTTAACACCTTTGTAAACGTCGCTTCCACCAGGTACATTAAATATTTTGCCTGGATATGGATTCCTGAAAGAGTGCTTTTGGTGCAAAATGAAATTTTATGATTGAAATTATTAGCCATTTTTAGAAGCGCTTTCAAATTTTCAGGTTTATATCAATGCACCAAAAACTGATCAGTTAATTAATGTTTGTTTGTAAGGTTGATTAATTAATGTTTGTTCATTATTCGTCCATTTCTGGTAATATTGAAAAAAGACTTACTTCTTATTATTAGCAATATCATCGTACATCATTGTAATGATGTTGTCTTCCGGAATACCATGATTTCTAACAACGTGATATGCGTGACATATATCCGACTAAAATAAAAGTGATGTTATTAAATAATTTGTGATTTTATTTTAAGATTAAAAAATTTTGTAATTGAGAAAATTTTCCAGATTTAAAGTGCTAAATATATATTATGAGAGTAATTATGAATAAAAAACAATTATCTACGAGAAGTTTTCAATAAATTAGATGAGCAAGAAGTAAAGAAGTACGCCTATGCTGAAAATAAAATATTTTTGGATAGAAATAGAAATTGTTATACTTGGTGGCGATAATTGTACCAGCCATTAGAACCAGCGACAAGTATCACCCAGGTTTTCGTATTCTCATAAGATTTTTCTGATACTTCATCAATACTGAAAATTTTTTAACATAAAATTATTGAACAAAATTTAGTTTTCTTATTTTTAAAATTAAATTTTTCGCCTACAAATTGGCTGAATGGTCGCAGTATGCCAATAAACTTTTTTCCAACAGAAAAATACGTTATCAAGAATGATGGGAATTGATAATTGAAAAAATGATATGAAATTGATAAAAATAAGTACAAAAAAATATATACAAAAATATTAAACCTGAAATGATTCGGGTTGAAGCCCCGCACAGATGTGAAAGCCAGAAATGTTATCAGTACGCAAATCGATAGCATTTTCAGTGCATCATTCTCTGCCAGCTCACTACTAGCAGATACTATCATGCTACCACATAAAATGAGACTAGAAGCAAAATTTGTATTGATCTTTGTCAGCTAATCGACCAAACTTATCACTCAACCATTATTAATTGAATAATCAACTGGGACGAGATATTGAAAATTCGTCCGTTCTTCTTCGGCATCAACAACTGCTGCTAAAACGAAATAGTTTAATAGTATTGACAATATTTTTTAGAAATAATACTATCCAATTGCTCTACTTTCTATTCTGTAAATTATGTGTTGAAAATTTTGAAAATTTGTATTCTAAATTGAATGACCACTGATGATCTTATTCCACAAATAAACCCTCTTGAATAATTCATGTATCGCTTGAAGTAAAACGCCGTGATTCGTATATGTTTCAGATCAAATTTAATTAGCGATAAAGTAATGGAAATGTTACTCATGATAAAATTTCTTGATATGCTTATCAAATTTATTAGTTTTCCTTTAACCTTAACTTTTTTTATCTACAATTGATATCGAATCATACCTTACTCTTTCTTATTTGTTTTGTTCAAATATTAATCTCTTTAAAAAAAAGCGCTTGTTATAATTGATATTGCCGAGACAAATCAGTTATTTGGAACTCTAACGTTATGTGTTGAAGACTTGAAGAATTTATTAAATATATCACTCTCTTGCTGATAATAATATCATTGATTTCAAATATTAATGTCAAAAAAACTTTTCGAAAAAATGAATTACGAAGATAAAAGAAAATGTTGGGGAAGGGAAGTTTTTCAAATATCGAAAGATAGGAACTGTCACAAAAAAGGTCACATTAGGAGGTTCATAAGAATGAGTAATCAATTACAATGTCAATATCATTGACAATTAAATACGTATTGTAGAGATGTGTGAAAAAGCTACGAATAATAGAATGAAAAAAATTCTCACCAAAATATTCAATGAAAATTACAAATTGACCTTTGATTCCACATTTTTATATTCATAGCTTTTCTTCCGGAAACTTAGAATAAAATTAATATTGTTACGACTCATTTTCTTACATTTGTAAAGGGTCAAGAGCCATTGTCTATCCATCCATGATGCCTTCCTTGTAAATCAATTCATATTTAAGAAATCGCTTGGCGCAGAAATCTTGCTATCTGATTTTTCAGTATAATTTGTCTGTGCATAGTTGATAGATCTATGGGTGATGATTGATATTCCCTAATGAGGTATTTTGAGTGGATCTAATTATCGTTGTCCACTAGTATCTAGGGCACTCCAAATGAACCATATGCACTTAGTCCTACTTATCCTGTTTTTTGTGAATCCTACTATGGTACACAATACCTTTAGGTACACTTATGCTTCCCAGATGGTAACCTTTAACCTTTGCATTTTTCTCGCAACGAATCTTTCATTTGTCATTAAAATGGTCAAACATTCTTTAAAATCTAATTCATCAAAATAATTAATTTTGACGAAAATCTTTTCCACATTAAGATGCTTTAATTAAGGTCTAAAATTTCTTATTAATGAATGCGGTGAATTACATTGTATCGAAGGGAAGAAATATAATCTAATATTTATGTGTGTAATTAACAAACTAATAAATTTGTGGGCAACAATGAATTGCATGTAAGATTTACACCTTTATGCAATAATAATAATGACAGAAATATCTATACAACAAGCTCGACTTGAAAGGATCATGCAAATTTTGGATGAGAAGAAGAAGAAAAGAAGAATCTATCCAAAGTATTCATTAAAAATTCAATAGTTAAATTTTTACACCTATAATTCTAACAAATTTAACTGAATGAATGAATATATTACTTTGGTTAGCTAATTAATGCTCATAACACAAAATTAGTGAATAATTAATTGAATATGAAAGAAAAGAAAGAGAAAGGAAGTGATAATAAAAATGATTATTAAGCTCATATAAAATCTCCCGAAATGAAGATACCACTATTATTCACTTCAACTTTATAGTTGACACTCTTCCCGATGAATTTCAATATTTCGTCATGAAATTTGCTAAAGATTAGCAAAATCAATAAATTCATATCTTACAAAGAAAAACGAATTCATTCTCTAATTTAAATATAATAATAGAAATTTCAATAATACATCTTTCTAACACATATATATATGTATGTAAATGTATTACATACAAATTACATTTTCATTTGAAAGGCTGTCATTCAAATGGAAGAGGTAAATTTGATAAGGTAAAATGTGAAAATAAAAAAAAGATGGCAATGAGATTCAACTTTTGTAACATACAGAAATCATACACAAATAATAACAAATTAATTGCTATGCACAAACAAAACAAAAAAAATTGTTTACAATCGTATAAATTTGCATAATTGCATATTTTTCGAATAAAGAAAAATTGTTTCTTTCTCTTTTGATATTTAGAGAGCAAAAATATCTTCAGGAAAAACTATGATTTCCGGAAATAATTATTCCATACTCCCGAATAGAATTTCTCCGTTTTTTGTGTCTGAAATTTTGGAATTAGATATTATTACATTAAAAACAATAATGAAATTTTTTTCTGCGTTATGCAACAAATTTCTGCATTATGCAATTTTTTTTCTTTGAATCGTTCACCTCTCTGTCATTAATACTATATGATTTTAACAAAAATCCGGTGAATAAGAATAAAATTGGATCAAATTATCACTTCCACTGATAGTATTAAATTGCTCCTTTTATTAGAGATAAGAAAGTTTGCATAATTCAAATAATTTCTTACAGATGCTATTGTCTTTTCATTAAAAAAATGACTGTAAATCTGAGACCAATAAGATTTATAATTCGTACCATCGATGCTCTTCTCTTTTCTTTGCCAATTTTCAAAAGAGAGAAGTAAAACAAAAATTTTAAACCTTTTCCGGTAAGATTGGTGTACCGTAGCCTTGACAGTGCCGTACTGCTTTGTTGTACATGTGTGGTGTCATACAATCACTACGAGCATAAATTATATCTGCTGTTTGATATTTATGCGTTGAAATTGTTGATCTATGAAAACAACATAGTACACGTTTCCAACTCTAAAAATTAATGAATTACTAAATTGAAAATTGAAAAATTTATCAAACGTGCAGAAATTAGGTGGTAATAATTGGGTGGTCTTAATTGATTTATTCATCATTTCTTCTTAAATTATGCTTAATTGACTTATTTATCATTTCCTCTTAAAAACTTCGCGAATGCAATAAGTGTCTTAATGAATGTGAGATATTTTATTAGACAATAAAGATATCTGAAATATTCAGGAATTTTCGGTCTGAATTAACATTACAATTACAATCAATAGAAGGAGGATTAATTTACTACTTTGATCTTATCTTATTACTTTCATGCTATCATTATTTGCTATTCATAAAAAATATAACATGGAAAACTATATTAAGCCTAAACTTTATGAGATGAAATAGCATTGAGTGATTGTGATACTCAATAATAATGAATTTTAACTGACAAAGACCTGAATTGTTTTTCGTGAAATGATCCAAACACCTGAAGTCCAACCAATAACAAGCATCGATGCACTCTTTATCAAAGCCAACAATGTAAATGTGTCCGCTGAAAAAATGATTGAAATTAATTATTCGTAGTAATTTTTCATAAAATTTTATTTAAATTTTAACTCAAAATGCAAAAAAAAGCATTTGATGAAGAAAGCTAAATTAAAAGCAATAATATGAGTTATATTATGAATTAAAAAATAATTGTTATTGAGTTGTAAAAACAATAATAATAATAATCAGTTATACTTTGCTGATCGAATTGTTCTGCGCAATTACACAATTGTGATCGTTCCCATAATGGGCGATAATGTTGCTCATAGGATAGTACCATAAGGACAAATATGGCTGGTACTATATAGAGCACAGAGAAGATACCAATTTTAGACATAAGTTGCGTCATTTTTGATGTATTATCACCACCCGGATGATGTTTTTGCATTAGTGAACGTATCCGCCATAGATTAAAGAAGCCAACAACCAAGAAGCACACGCCAATGATTAGATATATTGTTAATGGAGCTAAGATATATCACTTGTTATGATAATATTTTTGTGAATTTGAAAAAAGATTATATTAAAATATGCAAAAACACTTAAAATTAATTTCAATTTACCATTAATATTTCCGTAATTTTATGTGGAAAATTTTACAAATATATTCTTAAAAATTATTTTATGATATTATTAGCAAAAATAAACTTACCAAAAACGAATGTTTTAAGATAATTAACATTGGTATTGCCAACATAACAAATTCCACTTAATGGATCACCGTCAACTGCACCAAAAATTAACACCGCAATTGTTTGGGTAGCAGGTAGGGACCAAGCAACAAAATGGAAATAATTTGCATAGCTTGCAATTGCTTCACTTGACCATTTACTAGCTGCTGCTAGGACCCATGTTAACGATAAGATAACCCACCAAACTGATCCAGCCATTCCAAAGAAGTAAATTAGAAGGAAAACCTAAAAATAAATATGGAATTTTTGATAAAAACATTTTTGTATAAATTTATTTAAATCATCCAAATTCATCAATAATATCGATTTTACACATTAAAATTATCAAATAATGAAAGCATTTCATAAGTAATGAATTTCTAAAGTAAAATAAATTAGAATTACCAATTGACAAAGGTTCATCTGTTGGTCATTAGCTTTTATTGTTGCTGTATCACATGCAATATGTTCATGTCCATAGATGACACGAATGATAAATCCGATTGATACCATTAATTGGCAGAAAGCTAACAAAAATATCGGTCGTTCGGGATATTGAAAGCGTTCCGTTTCTATCAAAAATGTTAGCACAGTGAATGCTGATAGTATAAAACAAGTTCCAGACCTGTAAATATTCTACGATATAATCATACATATCTCATTTCATGATTATTTATAAAATCATGATTTAGATGATAATGAAAGAGATGACAAGGACGGTTGTACCAGTGAT